TGTAGGTTAGCCATCATAGAAGTTGGCATACCATAGGGGTAATCTCTATCAGGTGGTGGCATTGAGAACCCAAACAAAGTGCAGGATTATCAATGGTATTTCCTGGTTGCGGAAGGGGCGTAATCCCCTAGGGTGGCATCATTGCGACTGGCACCACTGGTACAGATGGAGTCGTTGTTCTAACTGGAGTAGAAAGAACTGACTCTTCAACGACCGATACAACCGGCTGATGCACTACATTTTAAGGGTTATTTTGGGGATCAATGTTATCTACAGAAGGATGCGACATACTAGATAAAGCTTTACCACTCCTTAATCGCATGCAAAATGCCCATAAAAACTTATAAGAATAAACTACTAATTTCAAATGTCAAGAAAACAAAGAAATCTATTACAAACTAGGAAACTTAGCACATGTCCTACTGGGTGTGCCAATTTGTTTACCCTGAAAATGGTAAACAGTCGTTGGTCTCCAAAAATATGGGTTACTTACAAGATCAACCAGTGAATTCTAGGACATTGTGCCTAAAAATAACCATATTATTGATTTCTTTGTGTTTTAGAATGATTGACTTCGACTTGCTCAAAGGAAAGTGTTGGTTTGATACTAACTTGACAACTTCGTTTATTGCAAGAAAGTAAAAGCAAAGTAACAAGACTAGAAGCTTTAAAGGAAAATGAAAACTTGAAAGAAAATGAAGAGGAAAGAAACAAAACGAAGTGTAAATAAAGTAAATCAAATAAATTTCATTGAAAGTAAAATATGGTGTTTCACATGTTCTTACATCCTCTCAGTCATTCGCTCGTTTATCTTAATGTCGATACTTTGAGTTTTTCAGTGAGATTTTTGTAATACGATTGGACACCTCTAATTCAACATAATGACCTACTATATATACAAGTGTGGAGATAGTTACTCCTAACGTTTCTGCCATTCGATCTTGCCACGTGAAACCATGCATGCAACCTCTCTTCAAAATCCCTCCACGTGTCTCTTCAGGATTAAATCTTAAGGCAGTTATTAATATTTGAACATGGTACTGTGCGTCCAAATAACTACATCGTCGACCACTTTGTTGCTATCGCACAGGCTACGCGGTCAATGAAGCTCCTTAGTCGAACGTTTCTCAAGACAACAAAAAATCTTCTAAGTCTAGATTCTTGGTCGAACCAAGAATCCTACAAGACTTCCATTGTTTGCTGGGTTTCTTTCAATGGCTAAAAATTTCAGCTAACAGACTGTTTGTCACCCAACGATGACAAACGTCATTTGGAAGGAGTGTACCTGTCAGCAAGGCTACACCCGTCGTTAGAGTTTTCAAGTGAGACGGTCAGCCTATCACCAAGGGCGACGACCACTGTCACTCTCAGACTATGAATTTTATAGAAATAACAACGAATACAAAAATTCAAAATTTACTGAGTTTGATTCAGTATCCAACAGAAAATAAAAATGATAGTACATAATTAAATAAGACAAAAAACATGCTTTGCAGTATAGAAAGATTAATTCTTAAAGAAATTGGAAGATCAAAAGAGATCTCAATTTTTAGAACCCTTATTTCAAAAATTCCAAAAAAGTCAAATTGAAATAGATATGAGTGACTCTAATACCACTTGTTAGGGAGATTTGTTTTTTCCCGTATGATATCTATCTTAGATATATCAAGAACACAATCTTAAACTAATCCATATGAACTCATATCCAAATTCAATATGAAAACGAAAGCGAAAACGCACATGAGTTTTCCATTAGAATTGCTGAAGGTTTACAGGTAAGTGATATTATGATTTATAAAGTGTCTTATAGTTTCTTGATTCTCTTATGATGAGGATGAAAAGAGAAAACCAAATAAACCGTGTGATTCATTTATCTACAAATGGAGATCATGCCCCATATAAGTCAATGTCTTAGGGTTACTACTCAATTTTCAATATTTTTAATGTAATCTAATTCTATTAATCATAGAATTAATATTAATTAGACCATTTTAATTTTTTTTAATTAAATAATAATCATAACACATTAAATATTAAATTGTGATTTGAATATTTAAATTCAATTATTCTTTTACATTGAAATCATTTAATGTGAAAACACTTGGCCATTAAGTTATTTTATTCAATTGATATTGTAGCACAAAGTATTTGAAAAATGAGTAGAGCAATAGCATCACGCATGTCTTATGCAATGTTATGGTGTGTTCCATGTCGATTTCAATCACTATAAAGTGCAAATGGCGCAAAAGGTAAGTAGCTTAAATCTATGATAACAATTTTAGCCAAGAATGAAAACAATTGGATAGTACTACTAAACTATGATGGGTAGATAATACTATAAAATAGTGTTGGTAAGGATGTCATTGCCCAATGTCCACTTTAAAAGCAATTGACTTCTTTTCTGATTAGTCACACTTTCATTGACATCAACCATCAAACTTAAATTTGACTAGAACACATTTTTAACATATTCTTTACAATTATTATATAGAAACTCATTTGTAATTTTCTTTGGTTGGTTGGAACTTTGGAATATGCCAATTTTCATTTTTTTATACCTTGAAGAAAGTCTTGGCATGAATTACCAACATAATTTAAGTATATTTGAAATTCAATCAATGAAAAATAAAAACATGTATTCATAAATAATATAGGTATTTTTGTAGTTGTTTTTTTTTCAACTAATAATTTTTAATTGTAGGTTTTTTTCTTTTTAACTCTCTTAAAAAAATTAACTGAAAATCAGATTAATAAATGGATAAAAATTTGTATAAATTTGTAAAATTTTTGTGGCTAAGTGAGTTCTTCACACACTCTTGGATTCTGTGATCTAGTTTTGGGGGATTTTGATCTATATGTTTGTGACAAGTGCTAATTAATGGGTTTTTGCTTGGATCGAATTTTAATTTTATCTTTAATTCGAGTCAATTATAATTGACACCAGAGTGTTGGCTAAAAATGTAGTTACTCGTTGTTGTCATGTTTCGATGTAATGAGTTGTTAGTGTGAACATGTTTTTTTGTTGGTGGTCAGTTCATTTGTCACTCACAAAGATTTAGATTTGGTTCTCAGTTCACAAACCGGTTTTATAATTTGATTTTGCGTTTGTACATAGATTCACTTAATTATGCTCGTTATGTGTGTATGTGCTCAAAATTTAAATCTATAGGTTTGCTTTACTTACCCTTTGAATTTGTTGGATGCAAATGTGAGTGGTTAAATTTAATATCATTTATGAATGATTTTATATTCTTCACTTTAGAAATGGCAGCAGAAGGAATATTATCCATGAAAAACACATTGTGTGAAGGTTTGGTGAGAGTTAAAGAGAATAAAATGGAAAAAGGGAAAAGTAATGTGTTGTAAGATGATTAGGAAAACATGATTATTAATCATTGGAGTCAAATGAAAGGCAAGCAACCTCCATAGCTATTTTTTAACTTCTAAGCTCCTTCTAACTTACACACGTCCAATGTATATAAAACATGCCCAATTCAATTTCTTACAAAAAAAATATTAATTAATACAAGTAATGTACACGCAAAATAGAGTTACTAGTCAAAGAGAAAATGAAGTCAAAGAAATGAAAAATTAAAATAATTCAATTCAACCAAACCCAAAAATCAGCATGTGTCAGTGTCAATATAACACATCAAAAAGGCTGACTCAACACATATAAAAGTCTAGAACACATTTTTATATCAAGAAAAAGAAGGTTCAACCAACACTTTTTTAAATATCAAATTATTTACTAAATTAATTTCATTTATTTCATTTTATTTTCCGTTTTTAATTGATAATAAATGCAAATTATCTTGACCAAAAGAAGAAAAAAAAGTCAAATAATTTTAATAAAAAATAAAAAACAATTAATTTAATATATTTTATTATTATTATAATTTTTTTAATTCCATATCGTAATTTCAAAGTTTATTTTGATCTTTTAATTTAACATATTAGTCTTTTAATTTTACAAATCGTACAATTTTAGTTCTTTTTGTTTAATTAGCGACAAATTTTTTAATTTTTCTGTCATTAATTAGATTAAAATGATTAACGTGATATATATTGAAAAGTTAAAAGATCAATATGAATCTTTTTAAATACAAAATTATTTATTAAATTAATTTGATATATTTTCTTTTCTTTTCTTTTTATTTTTAAAAGAAAAAAAATTTTCTTAAAAAGATAGTTAATAAAAGCTGATCTTAACAGATTCTAGAGGAGGCAAGCAGTTCAAGATAACAAACTTATTTTCCATTTTTAATGGATAATAAATGTCAATCACCTTTACTAGAAAAAAAAAGTCAAATAATTTAAATAAAAAAACAATTAATGAATATTGTTAATATATAATCCAAATACATCAGTTAATACTGAAAAAACAATTTAATCAAGGTAGTATCTAATAAAACAATACTATTTTTAAATATAATTTTAGACTTTTTAATTTAAAAAGAGTTATAGAATATTCAGCTTTTTTTTATTAAGTAAATATATATATATATATTTACATATTTAAGACAATTAACTTAACAGTTTTATCATTGAACCGGTTCGGCTCGGTTAGGCTGTTATAACAAACCGGCCGGTCCAAAAATAATCAAAAACAGTTTAGATTTAAACAGAAACGACATCGTTTTAGTACTAGGTTACGGTTAAAAACATAAAATGAAACAATGTCGTAGGTAAAATTCTGTTGGTACGGAGAACGAGGCGTCGGTGGTTGTTAACCGCAGGTTAAAAAAAATTGTGAAGAAAAAGAAAACAAAAGAATTTGAAAAGAAAAAAAGAATCAAAATTCTGCAATGGCTTCATATATAAGCCATTAAAACCAATTTCTTGAATCCTGACACATTAACAACACACACGCACGCACACGAGAAAAGAGAGAGAAACAAGAGAGGGAATTGGTGGGTGGAGCCTTCTTTCTTTGAAGAATTTCAGAGAGGGGGTTCTTCCATTATTATTCATCATCATCTTCTTCAAGAGCTGCAGCCATGGCAGAATCAAATGATTCCGTTTCAGTTGATATGGAAAAGATCTATCTTGGTGGAAAGGTTCAAACTTTATTCTTTCTTTTTCATGGGTTTGGGTTTAAACCTTCAATTTCTCACATGGGTTTTACTTTTTTTTCTCATTCTTTCAATTGGGTTTTTTTTAAGTCATTCAAAGATTGCATTTTTTTTTTCATTTTTGTGCTGCATTTTCTGTTAATGTGGAGAATCAACCCTTTAAAGTCAATGAGAATTAGTTAGAGAATTTTAACCCTTTTTTGTTTTTTCTTTCATTGAATGTGTTTGTCTTATTTTCTTCTCAAGTTTTGAATTTGGGATATAGTGGATCTGTTTAATCCTTATTTGTCACATATTCTTTTGCACTTCTAAATTTCTCCATTTGTGAATTTTTTACTTTGTGGTTCTTCTTCTCATAGAAATTGTCAGATTTGGGTTTTTACTTTTTTCTCCTCTTTTTAGCTGTTTTAAACCTAATTTTCTTTTTGTGACATGCAATTATTAGAATTTGGTATCATTGTTTTGTTTAATAGTGATACATTTTTTTGATGTTGCTTGTTAGTTTGGGTAAGGGCATATTTAGAAAACAAATAGCCTGGAAAAAGTTTCACTATAGAGTTGTAACCTTAGCCAAATGGAGTACAGATACAATGAAGAATATTCTTTGCTTTTGGAATGCTCCAACTTGAATTTTTCATGCTTTTATAAGGTGTAGTTTCTCATTTGTTTATGCTATTTGAGTTTTCGATTATGGTTTTACCACTTCAGGAGCATCATATTCAAACTGGCTGTGGTTCTGTATCTGTCATAGTCTACGGGGATTACGACAAACCAGCTCTAATCACTTATCCAGATTTAGCGCTAAATTGTAAGTGTGTTATCGTCCTGTAAGGACAAATAGCTTAATGAAGAAAGCACTTATAGTATAAGCGGCTATCATTTATGAGTTGATGTTTTAATTCTATGAATTGCTACAGATATGTCATGTTTCCAAGGATTATTTTTCTGTCCAGAAGCTGCTTCTTTGCTGCTTCATAACTTCTGCATATATCATATAAGTCCTCCTGGACACGAGGTCTGCAACTCAACTGATTTGAATGTGTTCTTTTATAGAACTGAGTATTATTATTTACATAGTTTCTCCTTTGGAACTTCAACAAGAGTTCTTGCAGTTAGGAGCCGCTGCGATTTCTTCCGATAATCCTGTCCCTTCCACCGAAGATTTGGCAGATCAAATAGTGGAGATCCTCAACTATTTTAGGCTTGGTGCCGTTATGTGTATGGGAGTAACCGCTGGTGCTTATATTCTTACTCTTTTTGCGGTACGTACACTTTAAACTTCGATGGATAAATATAAAATAGGGAAAGAAATAAACAACTGCGCTATTTAGTTAGTGCTTTGTGGTTTTAATATGAAGTCGACTTTGTATTGATTTGTTCTTGTATGATTTTACAGATGAAATATAGGGAGCGTGTTGTTGGTTTAATACTTGTATCTCCGTTGTGCAAAGCACCTTCTTGGACTGAATGGTTTTACAACAAGGTTCCTTTGAAATCCTTGCAGATTGTTCTTTTTGTGAGTTCTTTGATATGATGACGTAACCTGAAACGACTAGTAATTTTTAGGTGATGTTGAATTTTTTACATTTCTACGGCATGTGTGGTTTGCTAAAGGAGTGTTTGCTTCAGCGGTACTTCAGCAAGGTATTGTGACAAGACGATCTTAGCCTTGTCATTGTTGTTTTCCATCTTTTATTTTTGTAAGTTGAATTTCCTCGCTCGACTTTATCAGGAAGTTCGCGGTAATGCTGAAGTTCCAGAGTCAGAGATAGTTCAAGCATGCAGAAAAGTTAGTGCTAAGCTAATTTAGTTTCTTTGCGGTGCAACTCTCTATCGCTTGAACATGTTTTTACTCCTTTTTCATCTTGTTTGGTGTATTCACATGCTTTGCATTGGTTGTTTTTCAGCTTCTGGATGAGAGGAAAAGAACAAACGTGATGCGGTTTCTTCATGCAATTAATCAGTATATTTTCTACACATTTGCTTGACCGATTTTTATTGTGTGTGCTTGCTTGCGGGACCTCTTACATTGAATTCGCAAACTTATGTACTACAACTTTGCTTTGCTAATTTGCAGAAGGCCGGATATTACAGAAGGGTTGAAAGGATTAAATTGCCGTACCCTTATTTTCGTCGGGGACAGTTCCCCTTTCCATTCCGAGGCCATCCACATGACTTCAAAACTTGATAGGAAATTTAGCGCCTTGGTTGAGGTATGTAGCACGCGAGTACTTTTAAGAATGCAGATATATGTAATCTAGTTATTTGATTGGTTATGATGAACATATCGAAAAAAATCGGTTATGATGTTTGCAGGTCCAGGCTTGCGGATCGATGGTAACAGAAGAACAACCGCACGCAATGCTGATACCTATGGAGTACTTTCTGATGGGGTATGGTTTATATAGGCCATGCCAGTTCAGCAACAGCCCAAGAAGCCCTCTTAGCCCATCTTGCATCTCTCCCGAGCTTCTTTCTCCGGAAAGCATGGGATTAAAGCTAAAGCCGATAAAGACGCGTGTTTCTCTCAATGATTGATACCTAATCAGAAGAGGGAACATACTTTTGACTTTTGTAATTGAAACCAGTTTTTCATTTGTTCAAATTTTTTTAATTGTTTTAAGAGGGATAGAGAAAGAAAAGAGGGGGGTGTAGATAAAGGAGAATGGAGAGAATACATGAAATATATATATTAATAATATAGAGGAGTTGAGTTGAGTTGATTAATTTGTAGTGTGTTGTTGAATAAAGGAATCATTGAGGTGTATGTATCTGTAAATCCAATTGGACTCTATCTATATTTATGATATTTATGGCAACCATCAATGATTGACTCCTTAATATGGTTTTTATTTTAAGATGCACATGTTTTATACCATAGTTTATGGGAATCTATTTAGTTCTTAACATGTGGATGTTGCTTGTATCTAAAATGATTATATTTGGTTTGGTTTAAACCAGCAGGATCTTAACAGATATCAATCTTGAGTTACTTGTGATGGAAGCAAACTCAGATTTGATGGAGATCATACTCAACAAATTTAATGTTTTTGGTTATGTTATGTCAGTGGTTAACATGAGTTTGTGTAAAAAATTAGCAAAAACTAAGAACGAAAACTTGTTGATCTCAAATGAGGTTAAAAGTGTTGGCAAGGTTAGTGCTCTGCTTCATAGCACACTACTCCAAGACCCTGTTGTGTACTCAAGACAAGATTGACAGGAAGCAATCATGTACTACTTTTGCATGATTCCTATTCATTCCAATCAATGGAAAAGTCCAAGACATGAAAAACATTTGGACTCTGACCACTTACAAAAGAATCTGTCATGATCCACTTTATCAACTTTCATTGGAGTTAGGGACAGTGCAATGCACAATCAGCAAACATCTCTATCATCAAGTTTACAGTATATCCTATTACTACCTGTTCCTCTGCAATTTTACAAATATAATTAAAACTTTGGAAACCATAATTAAAAATGAACAAAAATTTCAAAAGAATTGGAGGCAGTAATTAATTTAATTTTTCATTCTTGTTTCTATGATTACATTAAGTTTTACTTTTCTTTTTATTGAAACACCAAAGGAAATATTGAAAAGGTTGAAGGGTACAGAGGGAGTTATTTTCTCACAGTTTTACATATAAATAAAATAAAATAAACATGAAAATGACAGCTTTTCAGGCCTAAAGATGCTTGAAGTCAGGCTTTGCTTTCCAATCCATTTTCAACAGTAGTAGATGTCTTCTTGACCGGCCATGGTGCACCTGCCATCACTGCTTCAATCTCCTGTATTTTTCTGGGACACTTTGTCATATTGTAGCAACCAGTGGCCGTAACAAGCTGAGTAAATCGAAAAGGAAATAATAAATTAACAGAGAAGCTCGTTTACAGAATAGCAAAGCACTTTTTAACCATAATGTGTATGTTGTTGAAAATATTACATGGCAGAGAAAAACATGAATTTCAACTTTTGCTACACAATGAGAAGATAGAAATGATAAACCATAAACCAGTTTATCCTTAATAAGGCTCAGTAAGTGGAATACCAGATCACTCTCAATTCGCACTCCACCAAAGCCGATAAATCTGTTAATCACTTCCTTGTTAAAGAACTTGGAAGTTTCTGGATTATTCATGGCTGGAAGTAACAAAGCTTCAATGAAGTAGCATCCAGGCTCCACCGTGATTACCTAGAAGCATAAAAACAAGTTAGGCTTTCATCATGTTCATATTTCTGATTTCATATCACAAAAGATGGTATTAACAAGTAGAGATCGAAGGAGAAAAATAAAACTCAACTAAGGTAACAATGGTTTACACATTATATAGTCACTTCGATTTTAACTTTCGGTGATACCGTCCATAAAATATTGTTAAATGTCACTCCATTGAAGACTTCAGGAACAAAATTATTTACAATAGATGGTTCAAAATCAAGAAAAATTAATCAAACACAATAAACTAGGGAGTTTTGGGTGCATCGAACTGTGCCATTTTTAACATGGAATATTCACAGACCTTAACACAGTTGCAAACTAATAAGTTGAGGCTTCATTCTAATTACTACTTATAAAAAGGTTTTGTTAATGGAAAAAACTGTAACTAACCATTCCTTCCTGGAGTACTCGGGCCGTACGCAACGCTTTTAATCCAGGTTCCTTTCTTCTTTCCAGGCCCTGCAAAACAATCCAACATTTCCGACATTATATGAAATGAATTTGACAGTTAATGGTTTGGAAACTTCTGGAGAAAACCCCTTACAAGCCCCGAAATTAGTTTCATAGTTTTGAGCCCGCTTAAAAGAGGCTTAGTTGTTTTTGTAAAATAATTATAATTAAGATCCCATTTCTTTTAATATACTTATGATTTTTTTTTAAACCTTTTAAGCACTTTCAATGTGTTTGTTTAAGCTTTTGAAAATAATGATAAACTGGAAAAAATATATTAAATCTAGCCATAATGAGTGTCATACATGAGAATGTTAAAAAAAAGTTATTTTTATGCTTGTAAACAAATACAAAATTAGCTTATGTTTTACTTGAAAATCACCAACAAGTAATCAATTTTTTATATAATGTAAAAGTCACTTTAATCTTAAAAACATATACCTCTGGGTAGCCTCCAGGGTCATGTGTATCCAAACCAAGTAAATGCCCCAGACCATGTGGCATAAAAACATGACCCAAGCATGCAACCATCGTATCATCAACATTGCTGCACCATTGTATACAATTTCTATCAAGATGCAAGTTTGCCTCTGGAAGTGATAAAACAAAATATATAACTTAAGTTACCCCACAAGAATGCGTCCCTTCTTTAGTGACTCCAAAATCACTTTATGCGATAGTCTGCGTTTCAACAACAGCAAAAATTAGTTGGCTATCCCAAGGATATTTGGTCGACTCGTTCAGACTTCATGTCGTCCTTGTAGAATTCATCAGTCATACAATATCACAAATACAAATGCACCCATTTCTATAAAAACATAACTCAGCTACAGTATTAGACACCACCGTAATTGAATTTAAACATATCTACTGATCTCTATTGATGGCTATATGTAGTTATTTACTCTTAGGTCCCCCTCATTCAAGACAGCAAATTCTAAATCAAGCTGTGATAGCTACAAAAGACATGTGTTGTGAGTTGTGACTGAACATGTGAAAGTTACTTAGGATAGAAATCTATTATTTTCCAGTCCATCTACTAAGTGATATAGTTAGGACTCAGGAATCTTCTCTGGAATAAATTACTGATGTAATTAGAAATTATATATTTTTCCAACTTCTATAATTTGAAACCAAGCATGAAAGATAGTAAACTAAGAGCAATAATGGTACCCAATCATACATGTGCATATCAACCCAGCTTACTCCAGGTTTCATTGAAGAGATAACAGCATCATGAGCATCAAGGACAGCCTGAAGAACATGGAAAGTAAGAAAATAAAGAAATGCTATAAAAAACCAAGAAATTAAGCTATATCAAAGGCTTGTTAACTGGGCCATCCTAACAGGCAAATGAATTATAAAATTGGTTGAGCCTTTGTAGGAAATTATCATTAGTTTTTGTGAGAATTTGCACTGCAGTTGTTTAGACTGGCGCAGCTTGCATATCAAGAAAGCACTTACATTATATATAAGTGATTGGTCACCAGTAAACTTTCCATTTATCTGCACCAAATAAAAATAAAGTTAAAGTCGAGCATAAAAAGATTATTCTAGTAAGTAGGTAAAATGATAAATTGTATCTACTAATACCCGACGCGCACGCACACACGACATATGGATAAGCATACAGGTAATAATTATTAGAGTAATATGAACAACAAATGAACAAAGAAGGGAACCATGTGGATGTCTGATGATTTGGTCACATAGCTCAAAATGACAACAGGCGTGTAGCATATAAATCATGTATAATGACCTAAATTACTTTTTGAACGTTAATAGAAAGACTCACAGGGTAAGAACATGTTATGTCAGACCCATAGAAGTGGTATTCAGCTCCCATATCAAGCAATGCCATGTCTCCATCTTCCAAAGTCTACAAAAGAGCAACATTTTTAAAATGCGTCTATCTCTAAATGTACACAAACACTGACTGTCCAACTTAGGCTACAAGTTCATTTTATTTGTCACTTTCTAAAGTAAGTGAAGCAATTTCAACACTTAATAAGTTGATTGGTCATATCCAACAAGAATTGCTCATTTATGGTTTTTTCTTCCATATTTCTGAACAAACTATTTTCTTCCCACTGATGAAAAAGTACTAATGACTAGGCATGGGATTGATAAAATTTCAATGTAGAAAGTTATTAATAGGTATACGGCCAACACAAAACCCTTGGAATGGAACAGACCAAAGAACTTAGAAAAACCATCAATTTTGAAAGGTGCAGGAACACAATTCAGCAGCATTATGATAGCCAATCATCAATGATATGACATTGGTTGCAATGACAATGGCCTTCATAATTCAAAGGATGAAAAAATACTCTATGATGTACCTTGTCATTAGGAGCTGCTGTGTGGCCGTAATGTAGAACAGCACTGCATTCATAGACATGTGTTAGCCAGCCCATTTTTGTGATGGAGATTGCTTGTATTTAAAATTAAAAGACTATAAAAACCTTATGCATCGTATAACGGTTGTACGAAATTGCAAACAACACACTGGGATGAAGGTTGTTACTATTTAAAAAAGAAAGATAGTAAATTTATATATGTCATGTGGTAGCACAGCAGAACAAATTTATAGTGTAATATTTTAAAAATGCTAATAATAAAGTTGTGAATGCCAATTCAAGTCTGAATAGGAAGAAAAACATCAAATAAGTCATTCACATTTCATACGAATGGCCATAGAGCAAAGTTTTATTTAATAAAAAACATCTAATAGTAATAACATTTATTGTGACAAATATGGTCACATTATTAGGAACTTAAATGTATACCTATTATCACCAGTAGCACAAATACATGTATAGGAGCAATGCCGACATCCACCATACATGTAGGTGTGGTGAAGAAAAATGCTTTCAAGTTGATACTCCTTCATGCCCGCCTTAGCTTTTTTCATAACCTGTTTCATTGTAGTATATAATATATTGTACCTGTATTGTAAGCATTCTCACAAAACATATGGATACAACCATTTACAGCTTTGCACTTCATTGATATCATAGATCTTTCTATCTACTAACAGATATTGTATCTATGTCTGTACGAACCCCACCAACTTTGGATATTCCTAACATGACTAAATAAGTACTACAAATTTCTATGGAAATTTTAAGGTAACAAACTAAAGGCAAGTAATACTTATTTTGGAATAATTATTATAAAAAACATGAAAATGAACATTTTTCCATACCACAACTCTTTTTTGTCTGTTTTTTTTATATTTTATACTTCTATACTTCACAAATGTTAACTAGTCTTATTATCTAAGAAAAATTAAACTATTATTTTCCTTAGTTTTATACACTACCCTCATACTATGAAGATGATAAAATTAAACTAACACAACTAAAGATGATAAAAAAACAAACTAACACAACTGCAAGATCAAAATACAAGTGGATTTTCTCTAACACCGTTCTGCTGTACCTCATATACCTCCAAAGAATATTTCACATAAATGTCAGAAAAGAAAAAGCAAGAAACAAGAAAATGTTAACTAGTCAAATTAAACTAACACAACTAAAGATAATAAAAAGTAAACTATCAAAACTGCAAGATCAAAATACAAAAAGTGTATTTTCTCTAACACCGTTCTGCTGTACCTTATATACCTCTATAGAATATTTCACATAAATGTCAGAAAAGAAAAAGCAAGAAACAAGCAAAACTTTGGCATGTTAAGACTGGTTACCTCAATATGAGCTTCAGAGCTTATATCATTGGCATACTGAATAAGATCAATTTCCAGATCTGACTTGATGACACGACATTCAGTCAATATAGGATGCAAAGTCGTCAGATCCTTATCAAACTTGTCAATGCCCTATAAAATTATTCAAATCATAAATACACAACATCAGTTCCCCTGAGAGAGAAGCTAGTAAGGAACAACAATTCAACACTATATATGATTGGTAACGCTGAGATTTGATGCAATAGCAGTTCAAATTCCACTACTCTACAATGCTATAGTATTAGTCACTATTGGGCAACAATTTGTACTAAATCAAGCATCACGGACAAAGGTGCATTATAGCACCGCTATAACTGTTATTTGATAATATTGTCATAAATAATTCAGAGCCTACAATGCACAGTTGTAAAGAAATGCTTAGCTGAATAGGAAAAAAAAATATGATAGAAATGATAAGACCTAAGAACCTGAAATTCCGCAGGTTTAGCAAAATTATTGCTATCTGTGTTAAGGCCGTGCAAAAGAAAGAGCAAGGGTTTCCCTGAACCTTGATAATTTTGTTGCAAAACAGTCGCAATCTCATCGGTAAAACAGACAGTAGAAACCTTGTAGTGTTCCTGCAAAATATGGATGCATAAATGTGAATGCACCATCAAATCAAACATATAAATGAGATGAAAATGCATCAAAATAAAATAAAAATAAAAAAATCATCATTGATGAAGTAATCACCTTAAAATGGGAAACTGATTTGATCTTTCCCATCCAAACAGCATACTCGTCAGGCAACCTAGGAGCAAATAGGATAGAATCCCCACTTGCAATATCCTATATATACATAAATTATAAATTAAAAAATCATAATTTCAATAACATAATATGATTTTGATGATATGAATCATAAAAAAAATTGAAATTGAAAGTTTAATAATAAGAATAAGATTACGAACAATAGCTCCATAGAAACCAGGTTCTTTAACTCCAAACAAATACGCGAAGTAACTCTCTTGTCTGCAATTAGTATTAGTGTCAATAAAATTGAAAATTGAAAAAAAATGAAATGATTGAGATTTGAAGGGGGAAGAAAGGTACCTGAAGAGTTCAAGGTGATCGGTGTCGTAACGGGTTTGTTCATCGCCGCCTTGAAGGAGGACGAAGCCGTGAAGAGGGAGAGAGGATTGGGAGAGGTGTTGGCGAAGGGATTTGAGAAGGTTTTGTCGGTTTTTGGAATGGAGTTCCATATTTACCTTGAGAGGTGATAGTGAGGACGCCATGGATGGCGATCGCTTCTACTTAACTCAGTTTCTAGTAATGTGTTTAACTATGTAGTATTAGTTTAAAAAGGGTAAAATTAATTTTTATTTTCTTAACTCTATTTGTGATTTTTTTTTTTAAACTAACTAACTATTATATACTATTTATCATATTAACGTAGCTTTCAAAAAATTTACGAAATGATAAAATTGGAAATGCAAGTATTTGTCAGATGAAATGGCGAGTTAGTCTTGGGTGTTAGTCTTGGGTGTACAAAATCGTCAGATGAATTGGCGAATTAGGCTTGCAGGTTAGGGTTTCGCTTTTCATTTGGTTTGATTTATATTATTATTATCAATTTTTAATAAATTTAAATAATTGATTATGTTTTTAATTTCAATTAATATTTTATTTTATTTTTTGAATACCTTATTTTTAAATAATTTCAATTAATAAATATATTATTTTTAATTATTAATATAAAATGAATTCTTATTAAATTAAATTAAAATTTTATTATGATTTAATTTTAATTTTTTTTATAGTTGTTATAAATATTTTAATAAATTGTTTGTGTAAATATTTGAATGATAATTGTTATTAAATTTATACACATTTTAATAAATATTTTAATTAGGTTTTAATAAATATATGTTATTAAATTATGTTGTTTGTTTTTCATAAATAATTGAAATTTAAATAACATTAAGAAAAAATTAAATATAGAAATGTTAAAATAGAATATAGAAATAATAAATTATATTCATTTAGAATCTAATGAAAAGTACAACTACAATTGAACAAAAGAAAAAAAAAACTAATGACAGGCTTTATCCAAGTGACCACCGGTGCCACATTGCGGGGGACGCGCGTTGCAACGAGGTCTACGACGAGGTTGCTGTGGTGTGTCCGGTCTCTGTGTGTTGAGTTGTGGAGGAGGGTATGGTTGGGACGGCCCCGACGTATCAGATAGAGTTTGCATCATTTGATCCCAATAGCCGGGAGGTCCACTGCCAACGGCGCTTCCGTAGTCAAACCCAACGCCCATGTTTTCGAAGGATTGTCGGGGAGGTTGGGTGGAGTATGGACGGTATGGTTGTCTGAATGTGTACATGGAGTTGGGTTGGTCTAGGTGTGTTGGTTGTTGCGGGGTGTGGTAGTCGAATAATGGATAGTTTGGGGGTAGTTGGAGGGGGTAGGGTCAAATGAGTTGTTTGGGCTATAGGTGGAGGGGGTAGGCTCAAAAGACGTATCAGGGTTGTAATGGTAAGGTGGTTGAGGCTGGGATTGAGTGGGTGGCATGTAAGGTTGTCGTTGTTGATAGGGGGTATTTGTTGGCATGTATGGGTTTTCGTAAGGCTGGTTCTGGGCACTGAACTGTTGTTGTGGATTTGACGAAGAACCGCGTTCCCTTGGGTCGGTCAAATAGGTTGGCTGGGACAGGAAAGGCTGAGATGTCGTGACAGACCTAAACCAAGTCATATATTGAAGACTTGGCCTAGCCTCGTGCACAATACGGTCGGTTAAGACGTATTGCCTTCTTCTTTTCCAGTGTATACGCAACTCCTTCGCAAACTCCTTCCAATCACTGACACTCCACTGTGCGTCTACCCGCTTTTGATGCCACTGCCCCAAGTCTACTGGAGCATATGGAATATCCTGATGCATTCCAAATTGTAGTTTCACCCGGTCACTTTGGTGCATCTCCACTGTAGTGAACCTAATTATGGGTGTCTTTGATGTCCACACAGCGGCATCGTCGGGGTTGGGCTCGTGGTCGAGACCCTCGTACGGCATCCAGACAAACTACAATAAAGTTGGACAATTAAGTTAAACAGGGTTTGAGAGGTTTATGCATATACATTTAAAAAATTAATGGTAAATAACTTACATCATCTGGCCCAAGGGGGTCGATTAGGTTGCGGTATTGAATTATAGAGTGCCTTGGACATCTCTGATAATTCATCCCTGGAACAGACCACCTAAAAAAATAAACACATCTCAGAAATTATTAATTGAAAAAGAATATGTAGTTGCTAAATAATCTTGAAAAGATACTTACTTGTTAGCGTACGGGAACGTAAAAGAATTCTTGTTTATTGGACAAGCATTGGCATCCTAGACCAACCCCACGCTTGCAGAAGATAAGCACAACCATAAAAAGTACAGGAATTTTTTTTTGAAGTTTTACAAAGTGCGTTATATAGATGGGCGAGGACAGCTGATCCCCAGCTATATTCGCACACTTTATTAATATTCCCCAATAATGGTAAATACATAGTATGGACGGTATTTCCAGTGCCATCTGGAAATAAAAAGTGCCCGAATAAAATCATAATATAGCACCGAGTTTTGAGTATTTTCTCATACTCGGTACTATCATCAGTTAAGACAATACGGTTATATTGTTTTCTAAGGTATTTTAAATTAATTCCCTGACCCCTCGGGCAGCCCTCGCTTTCCGCCTGAGGTCCGTCCGTACAAATAGGGGCGCCCAATAAATCTTCGCAAAGTCGGTCAGGGACACCAACTTTGCTATTGACGGCCTTACCATCGATGTGTAGGCCGAGCAACATGTAAACGTCCTGAAGAGTCACAGTACACTCACCAAAAGGTAGGTGAAATGTATGTGTCTCCGGTCTCCAGCGTTCTAACAACGCTAGAATAAATTTCATGTCGAGGGAGTAAGATTTGATTTCGACCAAATGACCAAACCCACAATGAGTAAGGTAGTTCGTAATGAGCGGGTCGTGCGGTATGTAATCATGCACACGGCATCGAAACCTTGATACATCCTTCAGAATAATGAATGTTACGTTAAGGAAGAAGTAAAATTACTAATGTTTTTTTTGGTGAAATTGTAAACATAGACAAGAACAAAAGACTTACAAACTCGGCGATGTTTTTTGTGTGGAAAGTTTCAAGCATTTCGTATGTCGTGCTCTCATGTCATAGCAGCATGTTCCAAGTTGCGCCAGGACCCAACCAACCTTCTTTCTGCAGTTCACCAAGTCATTAGTCTATGCAATGTCTACACATGCAGCTTTCAAGTGGTGGTAAAGGAGGACTATTGGCCTCAATACGAAGGCGAAATTGTTTGGCATAATGACCTGATGCGCAGACAGAAGAAGGGTCGGCCTAACAGCACGCGCATTCGAACTAAGATGGATACCGCAGACAAGCTAGTGAGATTGTGTAGTTCGTGTCGGCAACCAGGACACAATCGAACAAAATGTCCTAACGTAGGATCAAGCAGCAGATCATAGTTTCATATGTAATCTTGTCCCGTTAAATCAATATCAAATTCCATTCGATTAATAGCAACTTGTATAAGATTAATAGCAAATTTCATTCGAATAATATCAGGTTTCAATCAATTAAAACCATAGTTAACTAACACAACAACAACATGACAACAGAACACTGCGCGAAGGCAACATAAATTAAACAAACATAACAACAACGTAAAGACTTAAAACATAACACTGCACCAAAGCGTCTACGATATCACGACCATCAACTTTATCTTCTTGGGTGTCAACATCATCACAAGGACACCGACATCATTTTCCACTTTTCTCCATTCTCGAGTCACTCTGTTTCTCTCGGTCTCCTCGACCAGCCTCTCGATTTTCCTAATCTTTTCTCCTGGACCAATGTCTCCTTCTAGCCAGCGGTTCAGTTCCCTATGCAAGTGCTCCAACGTCTGCGTATTCCAGAGGAGCACCTTCATCAGAGGCTTTGTTGGTGAAAACACAACTAGGGCATTTCTTTTTATTAGATCGAACGTTGAAAAAGGTTCCTCCAATGCTGATGACAACGACGACGATGAACGTTGATTTAGAAATGCAGACATTCTAGGCTCCACTCAACTCAAAATGCACTAAAGCTTCAGTCTTTTGGGATACAATGTTGTGAAAACATACTTGTGTTTGCAGTCGTATTTATAGTAAAAAAAAATGGTACATACCCCATATGATATGACTTAAACACCCTTACAAAATTTACATTATTTAAACTTCAGTGAACACTCAATTTTTATGTTTTAAAATTATAAATTATTTAATTAGGTTTAAAATCTAAACTTCAATGAACACTCAACTTTTAGATCAACATAAATTTATTTAATTAATTTGAGATTATTTTTATTTGAACCTAATTACTTAAAATTTATTAATTAAAAATTAATTTTAACTTTAAACCTAATTATTTAAAGTTTATTAATTAATAAATTAATGTTAACGTTAAACCTAATTATTTTAAATTTATTATTAATAATTATATTTAAAAAATATTACTAATTTAAAATATATAAAACTTAATTTTAACATTAATTGAAATTAAAAACATAGTAAAAAAAATAAAGGAAATATCACGTTTGCCTCATTCGCCAATCCATCTGGCGAATTGGTTACAGGCCCAATTACACATTTGCCTCATTCGCCAATCCATATGGCGACTGGCTGTTCAAAACATTGCTACTTTGGTAAAAATTTTGAAACTCTCATTTAATTGGTAAATAGTACACAAAACTTAGCTAGTTTAAAAAAAATTCTCTATTTGTGGGGTCCAATTTGATCATTTAACTTTAAAAAATGACAAATTAATTTTTTAACTTTTAAAATGGTATCACATTTGTTCTTTTGTCTCTTGCCATTAGTCAAAGCTAGTAAAATCATGTCACGTTTGTCCAAGTGACATTTTTATTGTTGATGTGAATATAACATGTAATATAACAATCCAAGTGTATTATTTCCTTCATTAACCAAGACACTTATATGACAAAGCCCTAAACTTGTTGTTGCGATGGCAAATTGAAGGAAGAAATCTAAGTGAAAACGCGGCGGGTTGAAGGCGCGTATGGTTGTTTCATCAAAGACGTGACAGATTGAAGACAATTGAAGACGCGTTTATCAAAAGGTTAGTAAATTTCAATATGTTTTAAGGTTTACGAATGTACTAGGGTAATATGTGATTTTGTTCAGTTTTAGGGTTTATGTAATCGTTTTAGTGTAAACTC